CAGAAAGCAGCTCCAAGAGGCAGCACTTAAATTAACGGGTGACCTGGTGAGAGGTTAGAGCAGACTAGAAGAGGGTCGCAGCAGTTCTGCCACCCCCCCCTTTCCAAATGCATGTTTCCCCCAGCTCTCTCACCCTGGCTAGCCACATGATAAAGAAGTTAGTCTGGGGAACTATGACAGCGAAAAACCTTTTCTTACTGGCAGAGTTCATTTTCTACAGTTTGACATTCCCGGGGATAGGAACAGGCAGGCAGGGATGGGGTGAGTGTGGGAGACTTGCGCTTCAACTTTGAGCCGCTTAAACCCTTACGGCGTCGCAGGCTCACAGTACCCGGCACAGCATCAGATACCTGAAAATGGGCTTCACGAAAGCCACCACGGTGGGCAGGGGACCTGCCTGCTCTAAGCCATAGGAAACCCCGAGGAAGGGACCGTCCTGACCCTGCTGCGCCTCAGAACGCAGCCCCCTTTCCTGGGGCTGCAGAGAGGTGCTTCTTTCCTATTGCTATTTATTACCCTGACTCTTCTTTAAGATTTATGTATCTGCAGCTTTTCATGCAAAAAAAAGGAAAAGGAAAAAAAAAAAAGGGGGAGGGGGAATAAAAGGAAGGAAAGGTCACCCCGTTCTCTGTAAACATGGTTGTGGAAAGATGCAGTGCCTTCCCACATCCCAGATCTCTGAGCCAGGCACTCAGGGGCAGAGGGGGCGATCAGTGTTTTCAGGTCCCCCCTCTGTCTGAAGGGACTTGGGGGACTGCACAGCATTTGGGAGAACGCAAAAATTCTCTCCGCTTGAAACCCGTCAGCTTCACGTCATCTAATGTATTTCATCAGACCAGCAGTTGAAAGAAAGACACAGAGCGCAAACGTGTGAGCATGCGAACAAGTCTCCAGCTCGGTGGCTGGTGTATTGTCCCTGGAGCTGGGAGCCTCAGGGTTTGATCCGCTCTAACATATGGACCTATTCAGCGGGACCTATTCTGCTGTAAGATGTGGACAATTCTCGGGACTGCTCACATGCAGAAACCCCCCTGGAGTTTTCAGACAACGACAACGTAGATGTTTCAGAGGGATTTGGCTTCAGAGTGATTTTAGCATGCCCTGTGGACTCAATTTCCATCCAGGATACCTGCTTGTGCACCCCGAGACCTCTCTGTGATGCAAAGCTGCAAGCGATCGGGATCAGGTCATTTCCCCCCCAAAAGCACACCCTGACCCAACCTGAAACACCAGTGCACATGAACCCACAGGAGACCTGAAATCCTGCCCTACCGCACGGAAACCCAGAGCCTGCCTGTTTTCAGGCGCCTTCCACGTAGGCTCAGCGAATGCCATAACACGAGTCGTTACTTACTGACACAGGTAGTCAACTAAATAACCACGAAACAATAGAAAGGAAACGTCAAGGAGCCGACCCGCTCGGTCACTTCATTCGCTTGCGGTTCTGGGCAGTTCCTGCCTGCAGCGCCTGCGCTTCTCTTGAGCATTTCAGATAACAAACTGTCGATCAGCTGAGGGAAGCCGAGCCAGCCCTGCGGCGCACGCCTGTGGCCGGCCTCCAGCTGCGGATCCCCGCGGGGGGGGAGCTCGCCCCGCGGTCAGCTTTGGCGGCCCCGCTGCAGCGCTCCCGGTTTCCCGGAGCGGTGCTGGGGGAGCACCGGCAGACCCCCCCCCTCCCCGACCCCCGGCCATCTGCAAAACGCTCCTGCCCACCCTGCAACCACGCGGCTTTGGGCGGGTGTAGCCCTACTTTTTTTTTTTTTTTTTGGCCCTTGGCTCCCCAAATTTGCCTGCTCGCAGGGACCCGGGAGCCCGGCCCCGGCCCTGTTCGGCAGGTGGCGACAGAGAACGGGCTTTGGGACCGGGCCGGGGCCCAGGGCCGGGGCCCGCC